TAGAGGCAAAGGAGGCAAATCGCGGGCCAAAGCGAAGACGAGGTCGGCGCGAGCTGGTCTGCAGTTCCCCGTGGGTCGTGTGCACCGTCTGTTGCGTCGTGGCAACTACGCGGAGCGTGTGGGTGCTGGAGCACCGGTTTACTTGGCTGCTGTGCTCGAGTACCTGGCTGCCGAGGTGCTGGAGTTGGCGGGTAATGCGGCATGCGACAACAAGAAGACACGTATCATTCCTCGTCACCTGCAGTTGGTTATCCGCAACGATGAGGAGTTGAACAGGCTGTTGGGCGGTGTGACCATTGCACAGGGTGGTGTGCTGCCCAACATCCAGGCGGTGCTGCTGCCGAAGAAGACGGAGAAGCCGGTGGTGAGCAAGGAGTAGGCTGGCCTGTCGTCTGCCTGACTGAGTTTGCAACCGTAAACGTGATAACGGCCCTGTTGAGGGCCACCCCTACCATTGCCAGAAAGATGATTGTTGACCAGTTGATGTGGGTGGGCACGGACTGATGACTGACTGACCGACCTACCGACCGGCTAAAAGTTGCGTGTTGGTAGTCTGCGCTACTGCCTTGGGTATAGGGCTGTAGGGTTGGCCTTTGGTGCTGTGGTGTCATGCAGAATTAGGAATGAGTGGGTTTGAATGGAGTGCGGTGCTTTCGTTCCGTATCTTGCATGCACTCTTAAGGCTGTTCGCCGACTGCTAGTTGGGCAGGTGGTCATGGCCCAAGAATTTTACACTACACGTTGAATATTTCTGAGTATAAGTGGCACCCATATCCATCTGTGGTGATGTTCCTGCGCAGCAACCGTGAGAGGGCGGATGGAACGCAGGAGGTGAGCAAGGATGTGTGGTGGATTGTGGAAAGGATGTAGGGCATTCTGATTACATGGATTCATTTGCGCGCTACCCACTTACCAACAGGGCACATCCGCATCGCCTCAGCCCTTCATTGACGCCTTCCAGTGAGAGCGCCGAAAGCACTGAAACCACACAACCCACTACAAAGCCTACTTTCCTCCCTTAACTCCGTTGACTCAAACATTACAATCATCGCAGTCACCACAACTACCCCTACACGCATTCCCACATCCCGTCCCCTTCCCTTCCTTATTCCTGCACATAAGTTACCGCCAACACTAATCCTGAAGCCTGGCGGCTTTCGCGGCAACTTGATAGCATAAAGTCCTGGATTAAACTTTGACACATTCGCATTTTACTGGCCACAACTTATTCAGCTCCATATGTTGTTTATTGTAATTTCACCTTAACTACCGTTAAAAGAACCCGTATATTCCTTAGTAAATTGGTCTGTATG